CGTGGTTCTATTTGACACGGTACGCTGAAAAAATGTTGGCACCAGAAATGTAGATGACATCTGTTTCTATCTTTTCTAAATGTTTTCAGCAAAAGAGCCAGCCTCTTGACTACCTTTCTGGCTCCGATTCTCTGCGCTATGACGCCAGACTGACGTCGCCTTCGCCGTTGTCGTCGTCGTCAATGTTGCTGCCATCCCCCTGCAGAGCGTTCACCGACCCTTCCACTCTGCTCCATCCGGTCGGCTCGCCCAGTTCTGCTCATCGCGGCTGCACAGTCATTTGTCCCAGTTCGGCCGGCCTATCGTCAACCAGGGCACTAGGCCGGTTTGGCGGATGCTCCGCCTTCTCGCCCGTTGAACGTCGGCCGCCTCGTGGCGCGGTTGTCACCGACTCCAACTCCACTTGGCCGTTGCTACAGCGCCATGTTGAGCTCGCCAGCTCTCAATTGTCCATCACTGGCCGCTCGGCCTCCTCCTCTCCGTCCTTTGACCACCACGAAACTGTCTGCTCCGACGTTTTGGACCGCGGTCACCTTCGCACTCAACTCCTCCCCTCGACGGTACACTTGTCTTGGGCGGGAAAAAGCTGTGAACAGACTGAAAAGGAGGCAGACTTGCTGGCATGCGAAGGTGGACACGTCTATTCTCCTCGCGCTGATTCAGCATTTTCACTTCCTCGCCTACTCACTGATGCCGACCTATCTTCACCGTCAACTCCACCAAGCTATCCTGCACTCCAGTCGTCCAGACTCGAGCTCATTTGCTCCCATCAAGATCACACTATGCTGTGCCAGACTACACAGCTTGGCCTTTTGATCTCACCTTCGCATGCTCTGAACGCCTCCTCTTCCTCGTGCCAAATGTCTTCTTCCTCCGCCTCGGCAGGTTCCGACATCTCGTTTGCCAATCTCGAGTTGAGCCGTTCGGATTGTTCGTCGGAAAAGAGTTTGACCACATCTGTACCACCAGAAGCTACAGCGTCTGGTCGTCTGGTCGAACCGCCATCTGACACCACGTTCCAGGACACGATAGACTGTGGACGGCAGGTCAATAGGCCTCTTGCTGGCGCTTCAACAGGTATTGGTACCCCACTTTTACAGTCGGGAGTATGGAATGGATAACTAGACATGTATTCATCCAGGATCACATGAAGCGATAAAGGACTGATAGTTTAAATTTCCCACAATCAGGGACGGCCTATGAGTAAAGTGAAATTAAATAGAATGATGAGACTAATTTATGTGATTGGGAAAAGTAAGCGGTATCACCTTAAGTGAGCCAGGCCGGCTACAGCTATTATTCACTATTACTACTGCCATTTTCTTAATTCTTCTTATTTTCATTATTAGTACTACTACTAATACTACGATTGCTGCTGCTGCTGCTACTTTATTCACCAGTAAAATCACTTTTTTTCGAATACACAGTCGCCATACAACAGGATGCATTTTCACCCAAAAGTTACATTTCTCCCACTTGAAGTTTTTTTGTGTGGACGACATTGAACGTTAATTAATTTGATGCACGAGATACAGAGAATCTGCGATGGGACCTACCTGGATCAGAATGAGCGCGTAACTCGTGTGCTCGACTACTGTTTAATCGAAAGTATGGCGACGAGGATGGTGTGGCCTTTTGTATGATCACAGTCTACATTCGTTGTAAAGACATAGAGGAACGAACCTTGTCCGGAGTCCATAGTATGCATGATCATTTCATGTGTAGGACCGTGGGTGTGGTACATTTCCAGACTTTTCGCAGGCATCGTAGTCGGCATCATCAGAGAGTCTTGCAATTCTTAGCATCACACGGCAACTCGTCAGATGGACAAGCGAAACCGATCTTTTGACCAATTGTCTGCTGGGATAATCAGCAATTTCACATTCTCATATCAGCTCTTCACTATCACAATTTTTACTTGC